ATCCTGAGGAATCATTCTGTGTCATGATTTGGAATTTCCATGATCCAAAGGATTGGATTCCTTTTGCTGCTTATTTTGYAGCAAGTTTGATGATTAAATTCCTGAAAATCCTTGCTTACACTTCAAGTGTTTACTCTTTAATCATAATTCCTCCCTTTTTTTCAACAAGCATCTGTAGGAAACTATATAATATCCAGTGGTAGTGGCACAGAATGCTGCGGTTGGGAGTCAGCTAACATTTCCTGACGGTATTAATGGTTTGGAAAGATCTCGGGAGCAGGACACGGTTTGTTAGCGCGCCGGGAAGGGCGGCTGGTGCGGCTCCAGCGGCCCTTCGGCCCTTCCTGCCGCACCTTTCGGCTCCGTTTCGTTCTGCTCACACGGGCTGATGCGATTTGATTTCCCCGTGACGCGGGGAAGCCGTGGCGGAGCGGGAGGAGCGGGGCCGGGGCTGTCCCGGGCTGTCCCCGGACTGTCCCCCGTCTGTCCCGGGCTGTCCCCCGTCTGTCCCGGGCTGTTCCCCGGCTGTCCCGGGCTGTTCCCCGCCTGTCCTGGGCTGTCCCCGGCTGTCCCGGGCTGTCCCCGGGCTGTTCCCCGCCTGTCCCCGGCTGTTCCCCGCCTGTCCCCAGGCTGTCCCGGGCTGTCGCCGGGCTGTCCCCCGCTGTAGCGGGCTGTCTCCCCGCTGTCTCCGGGCTGTCCCAGGCTGTTCCCGGCTGTCCCCAGGCTGTCCCCAGGCTGTCCCCGTGCTGTCCCTGGCTGTCTCCCGGCTCTCACCCTGCTGTCCCGGGCTGTCCCGGGTTGTCCCCGGGTTGTCCCCGCTGTCCCCGCTCGGCTCCGCGGTACCACGGCGCCCTCTGCTGCCCGCCCGCGCCGCCGCACCCGCGCTGCCGGACCGCATTCCCAGCCCGTATCCCGCATTCCCAGTCCGTATCCCGCATTCCCAGCCCGTATCCCGCATTCCCGGTCTGTATCCCGCATTCCCGGTCTGTATCCCGCATTCCCAGCCCGTATCCCGCATTCCAAGCCCGTATCCCGCATTCCCGGTTCTTATCCCCCATTTCTGGTCCGCACCCCGCATTCCCTGCTCTTATCCCGCATTCCCGGTCCGTATCCCGCATTCCCTGCTCTCACCCCGCATTCCCTGCTCTCATCCCGCATTCCCAGCCCGTATCCCGCATTCCCAGCCCGTATCCCGTATCTCACCCCCCTCCCCGCCCCACCGAGCCGGGAGCCCGCTGCGGGCTGGCCGGGAGGAGCCCCGTAAGCCCCGACCCGAGGCGGGTATCTCAATGCCGCGGGTCGTTCCAGAAGGAAGAGCCCTGTAAGAGCACCTGACCCCCCGTGAGAACTCAATTAATGTTTTAATGAGAGTTTTGGGAGCGGCGGGCGGTCCGGACGGCCCCGATGGGGAGCGGAGCAGAGTGGAGTGAAGTGCGCTGCTCAGCGCCTGTGGCCGCCCGCCCTTCATCCCCGGCCAAGCCACTGTCTCCAGCTGTCTCCCACGATTGCCGGGGCTCCTCAAGGCCCGGCGGCAGAGGAGGCTCTGAGGAGAGTTCGTGCAGCATTTCCCTCACCACCGGTCTCTCCCCCTCTGCTGTCTCCATCCCAAAATCCTAAGGCGCCTGAATGCCTTTCCGTCAGCAGCAGCAGTAAGTGCTCTCACACAAGTCTCTGCTGCCTGGGGATTTCCTGTCATCCYGGCCGTCCACATTCAGCTTTTCTATCATATCTCTGCGTCTTCTCAAAAAGCAAGTGAGTGCTTTGCCTGTTCTAACTTTATCTGCTTTACAAAACCGCAGTGTTGGGTGATGGCTCTGAGATATTTTGTTTCTCAAAGTCCAGGCACAGATCATTTTAATTCTGAGTTTAAAAGTGAAAGATGGAATAATATTCATCGGTGTATACCTGCAGACTGGGACCTCTCACTCCCTTTCCAGYAAAAACACCAGCTCTGGGTATGCTGAAAGGCATGAGCACCATGTGGGGTGCTCCTTCCTTCCCCCGGACTCACAGACTTTTGTTTGCCTGCTCGTCAAGGCGTAATCTGGAAAAAGCACACCCTGTGGAGAGTAGGTGATGAATGCCCGTAAAATCCTGGCTCTGGGAAGAGCCAGCCCTGCCAGATGTGATAATGTTGTCCTGTGACAAATGGCCATAGCTTGGCCCTCTGCAGATAGCCGTGTGGTTTGTGTGTTTGCTTCAGCTCTGATCCCGCTGAGGAAGGGCTCCCGACCCTACAGCCACCCCTCCCACCTCCACTGTGCTCAGCGCTCACAGCCTACGGGGTTTGGCTCCACTTCTCCCTTTCACTGGCACTTCTGCACAGACTAACAGTTCCAAATGTGCATTTCCATTTATCTCGCACCTTTCAGCTGGAAGTCCAAGTGCTTCCCCCTGGGACTCAGGCAGTGCAGAGAGCAGGGAGATAAGCAGGGAGCACAGAGGGATCACCCAGTCGGCACTGCCGCAGCACAGCTGTTCCTCCTAAGGCAGCAGACACTCAGCAGAATTCCAGAGTATCCAAACACAAAAGTCTGGACCAGCTGTTTGCTCATGTGAGTGGCCAATCCCCAAAGTGCCCTGCTCGAGGTGTGGCCCCAATGCCGGGCACTCGGGGCAGTGAGGAGAGGTGTTCCCTTCCCAGGGACACATGCCGCAGCCCTTTGGCAGCAAGTCCAGCACAATCTCTGCCTCTCACCCACCCCACACCATTCACTGCCCTTGCCAGGGCCCTGCAATGACTGCTCTGATCCAGAGTGGRTACTGGAACAACTGGATCTGTATTTTTGTGCAATGTCAAGCCTTTAAGTTTTGTCTTCAAAACACTGAACAGTACCAGCAGCTCCAGGTTCTTGAGTTCTCCCTGGGGCTCTCTCACCATCTTGCACATGGGCAGCAGCCGCAGCCCAGCGCTTCCCTGCAGGTCAGGAATGAGCGATTAAGCCAGGAGAGCTTTCCTGGGAGCTTTTCCGGGGCAGAACTAACTCACGCCTTATTTATGTAAAGCCATGCCATAAAGGTGCTCACACAGTGCTGTCTGTCACCTTACGACCCATGTACCCTTACATTAACCTTTAAARGCCTGTGTTTATGATCCATCCCTAACACCCGTGGGGAGAGCAGCGCTGCAGAGGCATGTTAGCCCCAGTCTGGAGCAGCAGTGTGCTCTTCTCCAACAGCACATCCCAGAAATGCCTGACTTGCTGCCTGACATCRCTCAAGTGTAATTGGTTATGTCAGGTCTACCATCAAACACTRTAAAAATGAAACTCCTTCCAGCAACAACTGAATTCTGGTAATCTCCAAGGCATGTAATTTGTTTCTGAAGTTGAGGTCCTATTTCCTTGCTGCAATAGCCTTACACATCAGTTCTGCAGGACTGGGCACTACAGATGGGCAGTGTGTCATCTAGGTTGAGAGGTGCTCACATCTGAAAAGTGATTCACCCTTAGAGATGAGTGTGTYTCTTCCTCTCCACTGACAGTGAAGAAAGTGTGGGTAAATAGCTCAGAGACATTGACCTTGCAGCTTTACAGATCACCTGAAAGGAATATGGCCTGTGAATCTGTACTTACTGTGAGAGGATGCTGAGCTCATGGGCTTTTTGGATGAGCAGAAACCCAATCTTGAAACTAACTTTCACATGTGCACTRTGTGTGCAGCAATCCTGGGTCCAGGCTGTTGTCCAGGCAGTGTCTCAGGATGCCCAGAGCCCACAGCTGGTGTGTTCTGGCATTACCCACACACAACAGCACCCCCAGCCTGAAGGGAGGAGTTGGGAAAAGGGTGCTGGCAGRCTGGATGAGTTGGCAAAGCTCTGCTTGTGGGCAGTTTGCAGAGCCCACAGGCTGATTCCAACCACTGCTGTTACCAGGTTGTTGTTTTGCCCTGGTGTCTGCACATGAACACATACCGTGCCTCTTAATTCCACCTGTGAAGAGTGCCATCACATCTATACCACCCTGGTTTGAAACCCTCTTTACTCAAGAGCAGCTGACCCCACCCTTACATGAAGCCCTCAGGTTGTTTTAGAGAATTTCACCCTGCAGCATATTGAAAGCTGAAGCTGCCCTGGAAATGAAAAGTGATGGCATAATGCAAATGGAATGATACCTCTGCACCTTTTAATGTGTGGGGGATGAACAGGAGATGAATATTGAGGTGCAAACTAGGAGGTTACTGCAGGCTTCATGCATCTGAGGAATCAGTGTTAAAAACAAAGCAATAAATACACAGTACTTTAACATCTTGTTTGCTCAGATGGCTGCCTGCTCCCTGCCCCACTGCCCCACAGTTGTGACTGTTCTATCCTCAAGCCTAATCTGCACCTTAATGTTTCCCAAAGAGGAGCAGCAATTTGTAATTTTTCCTTGTGTTCAAGTATTGAACTTATGAAATGACCCAGGTCATTTATAAGCCAAAACTTCCTGAATTCCTTCTCTGGCTTTAAGAAGCTCACCTGTCCTTATTGCTTGGTATGCAGTTCCAAGACACTTCTGCTGAGAGGAGAAGTGGCTTCAGAGGCCTCAGCTGTCTCACCCCAAAATGCAGTCCCTCCCTGACCCCTGTGAGATAATTTGAGTTTAAACTACCCATAAGAGAAGAAATTATTTTAGTGATCAAGCACCAAGCAGTGTGAAGAGGGCAGCAAGCTGTGGCTGAGAGCACAGAATGGGATTTTTGGGTGTTTTTGTACCAAAGCCAGCGTGTTATGTAGCTACACATCTGCTTTTCTGCAGTGGGAGAAACAGCTGGAGTGGCTGCTCTCCTGATCAGCTGCCCTCTGAAGCATTTCACATGTTGGTGCTGCATGCACAGGATCAGCAGTGTGTCAGTCTGTGCCTCCCTGCTGGAGGAAACCCTGAGAACACGATGACTGTGAACTCCAGAGCACTCCAGAGCTGTGCAGGGTGTGCTGCTGGGACACAGGATGTTGCAGAAGCAGAGGCTGTTCCTTGTTCATCTTCTAATCCTTTTTTTTTTGTCCTTTTACTTTTTAGTGTGGAAACAGTAAATGATGGGCAGTTTCACAGTGTGGAACTCGTGATGCTGAATCAAACTCTGAACCTTGTGGTGGACAAGGGGGCTCCCAAGAGTCTGGGAAAACTGCAGAAACAGTCTTCAGTCAGCCTCAACACACCCCTCTACATTGGAGGTACGTGACTTGCTCTGGACTTGAGGTTTTATTGTGTCTTCTCAGAATCAAATCATCTTCCATGCTATGGAGAGGGCTCTCCAGGGCTAGAGATGGGATGGGGGACTCTCCCCTGTGTTGTGTTCCCAAACAGAAAGCGTGGAGACTGCAGCTCTGCTGTTGTCTTTATGCTCCATCTTCCCCTGGCACCCCAGGCAGTCACCCAGGCACAGCCAGGCAGTTTCTGTGTCACACAGCCACTGCAGGAACAGCCTGGCTTTTCAGAACTGGCTGGCACCAAGCTGTCATGGCTGAAGTATCAGYGGGAGTATCACAAATTGTCATAGCAAAAAAAGCCAATTGTCAATAGGTTTAAATAGAACATAACTGAGCAGCATTTCTGCTGGGAATTTTARAGGTCTAAAAACTGGGGGAAAAGAGGTGTGTGATTAAAAAACATATTAACACACAAGCTAAGAACACCTCTCRTTGGAAACTGAAACCACAATATCAGTCTTAGACAGATGCTAGAATTGCCCAAACCTCAGTTAAGAAGTTTCTTTCACATGAAGTATGGAATCTGGGAGGAAGAAGAGGCCAAGTGGGGTGGGGAACAATGCCCAGAATAATGACTGTACCACTGATTAAGTGTCTGGTTACAAGAGACAGAACAAAGGCTGGTCTCTGCCCAATGGATGGTTTTTGCCAGAACCCCCACTAGCTCTGCTCTGGACTGAATGTTGAAATCTCWCAATGACAAGGAGTTCTTGAATTTTGAGTTAGCCTATTCCAAACACAAAAGTCAGCAGAACAGTAACAGACTCAGAAAGTCTTTGGGCTTTTTCTAATGTGATCATTGAAGCCAACAGCAGAAACTCTTACCAACTTCAGCTGGTGCTGGTCAGGGCTTTTCTAAATAATTTTCTTTAATAACACTTTTCTGAAAGAACCCTGAATGTTGCCCTTGTAAAACAGAAAACTGGCTAATCTTGCTTTGTACAGAGCTGAAATTTTATAATTGGCTCCTATTAAGAATGTGCCAAGCTATTAAAGAGCATTAAAGAGCATCAAAGATAATCTGTTGGTGCAGAGGCCATCACAATTTCTCCCCCTAGCACAGCACAAAAGTTACCAATCCTGCAGCAATTTATACATAGGAAAGTTGGGAAGTAATCACATGGAAAAGTTTTGTTAATGGATGAGCATTGTGAATCAATATTAATTCTCAAAAGATACCTAAAAAAAAAATTCTCTGGAAAAACTTCAGGCCTGGAGTGAAGGACTGTTGGATACCAGGAGCCATGGCCTCAGTGGAGACTTCTTCTGTTGCCTGTTAAAATTCTCTGTGTTTCTTTCTAAAGCCTCACTGTTCTGCAGGTGCCCCCATGCAGCTCTCCCTGGAAGCCAGCTGCCCTTCCCCTGCAGGAGGTTCAGATAAAGCAGTGATTCTATCACCCCAGAGCAGTTGTTCCTGACCCACTGTGAGGTTAACACACACCTGAGCCCTCAGCTGCTCACAGCTCTGTCCATCTCCCCAGCCACATCACTGCTCTAGCAGCTTTCCTCCTTRCACACAGTTAAACCCAGATGGTGGATTTGTTTCAGGACCCTCTTTGACAGTGGCAGTACTTGTGGACAGCAAGGTCAGAGGCCTCACACGGCTGCAAATGGAAGCATTTGCCTGTGCTAATGCAGGCATGTGTCAGGGTGGAAGGCATAAAGCAACATCCAAAACAACCTGCTGGCTTTCCAAACATGTGAACTGTTCCAAGCACTTGAACAAAAGGGGAGGTGCTCAGCACAAAGCCTTGGCCTGGCCCTTGAAGTGCTGTTCCCTGTCTCTAGATCTTCCCTGTRCTTGTTTCCATGGGATGCACTCTTACACTCATCCCTCTCTGAACACTGTGACCCGCTAAAGCCAATCTGTCTTTTTGCACCACAGGGGTGCATGCTACTTGCTGACAAGTGAAGGCATTCTTAAAACCTTTCAGAAAAGTAATTGCTGTTACACTGTAGAGAGAATGAACATTATCTAAGGACAGGAACACCTGGTCTTCAGCCAAAACGAGATGGCTTGTTTGATTTTATTTTGTTTTTTCTTTCTTTTTAAAWTTTTTTTGGTCATATACTTCTTACAGAAGATTGGGCAAGTGAGTTTATTTTTGTTTCTTTCCATTTCCAGAATGAGGACAATGAGACTCTGCTACCTTACAAAGGTYCTATGCAAATTGATTATTCAAAGCTTTTAAGGGGCTGTGACAAAAGAAGCCTTAGCAATTACAATTTATGTATTATCATTATAAATGTAAGTGAACCTTTCCCTTTTGCTTTTATCTGAAGGGATTCCAACCTCTACTGGATTATCATCCCTGCGCCAGGGTGCAGACAAAACACCAAATGGTTTTCATGGTTGCATTCACGAYGTCCGCATCAACAACGAGCTGCAGGATTTCAAGGATTTGCCACAGCAGTCCCTGGGAGTCCTTCCTGGCTGCAAATCCTGTAACATCTGCAAGCACGGGATTTGCCGATCCCTGGAGAAAACGAGTGTGATTTGTGAGTGTCACCCAGGCTGGATGGGCCCTCTGTGTGACCARGAAATTGGAGATCCATGCCTTAACCACAAGTAAGCTCAAACAAATGCTGATGGGAGGGCRAAAAGCTTCACGGCTAATGCATATTTCACATTTCATCTTGCAAAACCACATCTGACTATTTTTGGAGGTGCTGGGTTCCCACACGGGGTTAWTGACGGCTGGGAGTCAGCATCCATGGCAGCTCTCAATTTCCACTTCTCGTTTGGACATTTCTGCCTTGCCAAAGGAGCTCATGGTGCTGCAGCAGCTCAGGTGTTAATGCTACAGGTCATACCTTCAGCTGTGACTGCACACTTCAAAATACAAAAGCTCCTGTTAATGGGCATAGCTTAACCCCAGGAGGTGGATGCCTGCATGGATCCAGGGCAGAGCTGCCTGTGATTGAGAGGTACACATTTTAGGGGTTTGCTCCCAGCAGCACTAGGCCCAGTCTTCAGACCAGTTCCCTGAAGACTATTATGCACTCCAATGTGAACAGTTTTAAATTTCCCRAATAGCTGACTTAAATATTACACTTTGAAACAGCCGTTTAAAGTGCAAGTTTAAAGGATAATGTGGTGTTGCATGTGAAGGCAGTGTGAGTGTAAAGTATTTACAGTTCAAAGGCTCAATAACCACATCTCCATCAGAAACACGGCATGAATAGCTTTCTTATGGCAAATGCACAGGAAACAGTCCCGTGCAGAGCAGCAGGCTGCATATTTCAGTGTTGTTTCATAAGCAGATGGAAGTACTTTTGTTTTAGAAGTTACTTCAGTTGCTGTCTTGGAAGGGGCTTTTCATGAGCACACACTTCTGACAGGTAAATTGATGCAGTGAATGATCGCTCTCTTAAGGGCAGAAATTTAACCTGGCAGAGGTACCATTTTAAATTTGCTTCTGGTTCTAATTRTGCAAAGTGGTGAAGCCTGGAAGGTGTTGAAAAGCACCTGACAGTTTACAAACCAAAGGTATGAAGACCCAAATGTTTCCTTGAATTTCCAACGTCAACACAAAGCTGTTGTGGTTGGACAGAGAAAAAGAAGGGAATTCCAGATGTTTACATGAGGAAGAATTGTTTCTCTCACAATCCGAGAAGGATAAGGCAGTCATAAGCAGATCCCCTTGTTAAAGAAAGTAGCTATGTTTATTTTTAATGCTTGCACACGTTTTGAGTGTCCCAGCTTTCCTGAAATCACTTCAGCCTTTTGGAGCTGTCTCCTTAAAGCCTCACCGGGTGTACCCAGGGGAGTGTGGAGCGGTGCTGACAGGTGGCTGCTCCAACACTCACAGGTTAATCCCACTGAGGAAATGCACCTGTAAAGATCAGGTAACCTCTGCTTCGTGGGGCAGAAAATACTGCTCTCTATAGACTGTGRCTCCCTTTATTACAGTATTTTGCATGTCTTGACCTGACTGAAACTGCTTTTATAATTTGCTCTTTTCACTTCAAAGCTTAAAAATTAATGTACAAAAATTCAGCATAAATAGGGAACAATTTTAAAGCGCTAGAAAGAAAATGGAAATAAGAGAGACATGGGTTTATGTCAAGTTGTGTTATCCCAAAGCAGTTTGAGGTCAAAAGCCCTGAGCAGTTTTAATTTGGCTGGAGAGAGTTGCTTTCCTCCCTGTCCTCAGTCCATTTCAAGTCTGTCGCTGTCGCACAAGTGGGAACGGTGTCAGAGAACTTGCTAAGGATCACCACCCCACCCTGTGGTATTCCTCGGAAATGCCAAAGCTCGCTGCAAACCACAGGAGCCGGGAACCCTGGGCTCCAGCTGCCGCTGATAAGYCTGTGCATGGCTTTGCCACAAGCACCTTCATTTATCACAGTGGCTTTYATCGCCTGATATTATTTGCACAGTAACTGTGCTCAGGAAGCCTGGGCATGCAGCGTGGTTGTTGGCACTCAGTTCCACGTGCTGATGCTGTAAATGTGAGCTGTCCCRTGTGGATGCCAAGCCTTGCTCTGTGCTCACAGACGAGCCGAATGTTTTCCACTTAGGTTCACAAATTCTAGATGTATTCTCTGAACGTTATCCAGTATTCACTGAAAACTCACCGTTTTCTCCAGAGTGTTTGACACTGAGCTGCTRTTTTTGGATTAGTGTCCTGGAATTAAATGGGCAGAAATGCCCAAATCAAACATTTCTGGGGAAAGGAACTTCCCCACGTAGCAAAGGGCAGCTCTAAATGTTTCTGTTTCTCCAGGTGTCTGCACGGGAAATGCACGGCGGCCGGCAATGCTTACACCTGTAAGTGCACAGAGGGMTACACGGGCACCTACTGTGACAAGAAGAACAACTCCTCCAACCCCTGCAGGACTTTGAAATGCAACCACGGGCAGTGCAAGGTTTCAGAGCATGGGGAGCCCTACTGTGAATGTGACCCCGGCTACAGCGGAGAGCTCTGTGACAGAGGTAGGCTGTGCTGGGAGCTGTGCTGCTGCATTCCTCCTTTACACCTGATTTACACCTGCTTTACACCTCTCTTCCATGCCACTGGGACTTGGAGGGGAATGGCAAATAACAGAAGATAGAGCTAGGCCAGCCTCTGCAGAGAGTACAGGGAGGAGAGCAGAAGCACTCAGCAGTAGGTAGCTACTGTCACATAAAGGGGGACATGTAGCAAAGAGTTGTATTCTCTGTCTCCTGAATCCTCCAGGTTTGCTGCTCCCAGGATTTGGGGGGCGATGTTTAAAGAGGAGATTGTTGTGAGGTTTACCCTCAGCAAGCAGGGATCAGCTAATTGCACTGCTGGGAAAGGAGGGCTTACCAAGGAGGARCTGCTCACCTGAAGTGGCATGGAAGGTTCTCAGCTCGCTCCTTTAGATGCGGCTGGGGAGGTTTCCAGAGGCCCAGATCCTCTGCCCTGACCTGAAAAGACTCCCTGGAAACTCAACTGAGTTTTAACTGCATCCTTTCTGCCTTTTTTTGTTCCTGCACAGAAGGAAGGAGCTGGATTTTATTATTTTTATATAAGTTGTGCCCTTCCTGTGGATGAACCACAGACTTTCCAAATTATACACATACACATCACCAAAATGTATCTGGCCGCTGCACAGGGACTGCAGAGCAGCACAGACACTTTCAGGTATCCCAGGCTGCTGATGTCATGCAGAGCAGGCTGACCTTTGCTCCTGAGAAGCAGACATGGTAAAACTAATTCTTATTTTGCAGGAGTGTTGCAGGACTCAACACTCAGCATTCATTAAAACACTTCCAGACTGCTGATCAAAGCCAGCAGGGCTGCTTGGCCTTGGCCTCGCACCRGATATTACACATTTGTGGAGCACAAGCTCTGTTTTGGTGGCAGGTACAAAGCAATAAAAGATTGAGGTCCTTCTCATGCCCTCTGTTTGCCTTGAATCACATTATGAACACAGGGCTGTTTGCTGATATTGAGGGAATATCTGGCAGAATAGTTACCACACGTTTTTCTCCTTTCCACCTCGGTTGTCCCCCCAGAGAACCTGTGCCAAGGCGACATCATTCGAGAAGTGGTGCGCAAGCAGCAGGGCTACACGTCGTGTGCCAGCACCTCCAAAGTGCCRCGCCTGGAGTGCCGTGGCAGCTGTGGCAACGGGCAGTGCTGCGTGCCCCTCCGCAGCAAGAGGAGGAAATACTTCTTCCAGTGCGTGGACGGCTCCACCTTCACGGAAGAACTGGAGAGACACGTGGAATGCGGCTGCTCRAAGTGCTTATAAGCCATTCTCCGGTCTCTCGCCACTTTAATCGACTCAGAAGCATTATCAAAATGGGACCTATTTACTTTCAGAGTGAAGAAGAAGAAAAGAATTATTAAGTATATTGTAAAATAAGCAGAAAATAGAACTTATTTTTATTATGGAAAGTGACTATTTTCATCTTTTATTATATAAAGTATCGCACCACTTTGGGTATATGTATCATATAGTGAGCTATTTTTACCATGAAACTTTTTTAACRGTTGTAAGAAAAAAAAATTCAAAAGCTAAAAGGTTAAAAAAAATTATATATCTATAAAGAAAACATAGCCTAAGAGGAGGAATGTGGGGTGTATGCACAATGAACAGAYGGAAGGGTGTTCCAAGGACCCGCCGCCGGACTGCTAGGGCTGAACAAAGCTCCGAGGCCCTGGTGGGAGTTCCAGGATCCCCGTGACCGACTGCATCCAGGCACCCAGACAGCCTGCCCAGCCCTTCTCTTCCCAACACCGCCCATGCTGGTTTGCTCCTGTACAGTGGCCCTGCTTGCTGTTCATGAACTGGTTCCCTGGAGCACACAGGCACTGCCGTAGCTTGAGGCTAACTACATTATTTGACTATTGTAATACTATAATACATTTTTTGCTGTGTATGTTGTATTTATCTGTGTTCACGTTATATTCTTCAGCAACTGTATCTATAGAGCACAGGCAGCTTTATCCAAAAGAAGGGTGCGAAGGGAAAGGAAGTGGAGAAATTTATGTTGCTTTGGGTAATTTGGGGGCAAAATGTGAAATAAGTGCTAAGTGATGCCTAATAAATGACATAGTACTTTTGTGTAAACTCCTCAGCTATGTTATTTCCCAAGTTTGTGCCTTCTTGCTCCCAGTCTTGAGCCCTTTTTTGTATATGAAATGTAAGGAATGCACTGCTACAGAGTTTATCACACCTTGACACTTTAACTTTCGAARGTTGTAAAGAGCATGAAAATACCGCAGGTGGCAGGAGGCACCTGCAGCGTATCRGCTTTTACTGCCACTGTCACTTGAGGCACGGGTGCGAGTTGGGCTGTGGCTGCTGCTCAGCCACACGCTGGCACGGAGCAGCTGCCTGCTCCCCACGCTGTCCAAAGGAGCACAAGTTGCACTATATCCACGTGAAGGTATCCAGCTGCCGTCTGTGCGCCCCAGCAGCGCTCTCTGCTCCAGGAGAGTGTCACAGCTCCATCCAGTGCACACTGAGCGGCTCAGCCAGAGCTCTTCATCTGCTCCTTGTCCTGCACTCGTGCCTCCCAAAGGACCCCCACTCACCTGAGCTGTGTGCACAGCAACTGCTGAGAAGCAAATGGAAATCAATGCAGGGACAAATTCTCACTGGATGTGAGAGGAAAAGTGACTCTGGGAGTGAGTTTGATTTTTGAAGGATTTTTGGCAGGGCTACCTTTCAGGGTCAGGACATATATGCAAAGAGCACCATGGATACCTTGAATTTTCTCTTATTCTRAATTTCAAACCTCCCCATCAACAACTGTTCTATTATCTGTGTAATTTCTTTCTTTCTTGAATGGAGTAAGTATTATGATCCTTTCTTCAAGTTCTCTAACAYAGGTAGTCAGAGATGCTTCCTAGCAGCCGTGAAGTCCTTCTGGGAACAGTTCCTGGTCTCACCAAAAGGATTTCAGATCAGGGSCTCCAGGAAAGGATGAGTGGGAAAGCTGAATCAAGAAAATGGGATTTCTGTTTCATTTGGGCTTTGGAAAGATGCACAGAATGCAACCCTGCCATGACAAGTAGAAATGTTTATTTCCCACTRAAGCGAGAAGACCATCTAGCTATAATACAGCCCGAAAGCTGTAGCATGCTTATTGTTCTTCTGCTGTGGCAGTCTCTCCTTAACTGCAGCAGCTCATTCATAWTTCTCTGCTGACGACCAGAGCAATGTGAGCAGAAGGGACATAACCAATGTAACAGGCATCTCAAAACATCAAAAAAAAGAAGTATCAGTACATGCAACTGGCAATCAGTGAAACATAAAACAATCACTAGTTAATGTGCCAAACTCTGATGGATACAGCACAGCTCAAAAGCCAGGGAAAAACTGGTTGCAAGTACTGTGGACTGCTTTTATTTTTAATACATGAGAAGCTCATCGCAGCTGGGGTTTGTGGTGTACAGCAAAAATCACCTAAACCACAACCTACACATTTTAAAAATTCATGCAAGTAACTGCAAACACTTGTGCAAATATATGCCAGACACACTGCTACCATTAATATTTCATTCCTGCTTAAAAATACTTTAATTTCTGAAGAAGCAGCTGCTGTGGTGTGGGGCAGAAGAAATCCAGTGTAGCAGTGGTTCACCAGCCCTCAGATTTGTAGCCACTTGACTGCCAAGGCTGCAGAAACACGGCCCCTCTTGAACCTGTCTAGAGYTGTGTTTACTCTGTCACTTGAGCAGCAGCGCTGTGAGAAAGAGGGTGACATTTACGGGTGGCCTCGCACCTGCTGGAGGGTGCTTTGAAAGGAATGGCCTGGCGAGGCAAAAGCCATCAACATCTTGTTAACACATCACTCTGGGATTTACTTAAGCCAAGTCTTGCAGCAAAGGGACCAGCAACAACTCAGCAAGGCCGGCCCTGTTCCTGGCCCTTTTCTGTCATGGCACTTCAGTGTTAAGCGCTGGGATAAAGAACTCAGAAAATACCTATTTTGTAACCAAATGATGCAATTTTTGTATGCTTTTAGGCAGCACTTGCCACTGGATAGTGATGCTTTATGTTCATGATTCTCTGACTTGCTATAGAATTATTTTATGTTAAGAAGAAAATAAAAAGCATTCAGATGTGCCAAAAATGTGAGGTTAACTGAAGTGTAATTAGCTCTGAAAGTTCCTCTGTAACCTGCCTAATGTTACAATAGATTTCAAGAACTATGGGTACGAGGCAGTAGTTTTTACCTCCAGAAAGTTTTAATATAAAGTGAAGAAAGATGCTTACCCTTTAAAAATGGCAATGCAGACTGGTGTGAACTGATGTATTTTATTATTAGATTCTCATTGTGATGTAAGTTTAAATAAATTGTTGGGTTATGGAAGATTGTAACACCTTGTGATGCAGATCATTTCTCTGTGTATTTGAGGTATTGAGTCCAACCTTCAGTGTCCACRAGGTAATCCACAGGAAATTATGGGGGAACTACAGACAAAGAACTTGGACAAAGTCAATGAAGAGCTATAGTTAAAGGTGGTATGAACAGTGGCTACAATTTTTTATGCCATCACAGCCTGATTTTTTGGAGTCTTATAGGCACAGATGAATGAAGCCACGTAATTTTTGATCCTGAGCATTTTCTTTAATTAAATACTTTATTTGCTACATTTTTGAAACTGGTTGAGAAAGACATACTTACTAGCTAATGTTAGAATAAATGAAGAAATACTGGGAATGGAGATGGAGGAAGTCTGGCTGAGGAAATAGAAGTTATACAGCAGGGATCCTGTGATGTCCTGACATACATACACTCCAAATCTGCTGCCACGCTGCTGTAGCTGATGATTATTAGTGATCAGGAATGATCATTAATAATATTAGTGATGAGGAAGCTCTAACAGGCTTCTGCTATTCACTGCATTCCAGCCTYAGCATAGAATAAAATGAAGCTCCCCCTAGTCCTCTACCTTTCCTCATTCATGCCCCTGTGCAACACTCACATACTGCCAATTATGCTTCCAGCTATGGCCCTTAAGAGTTGCCTTTGCAATTCCACGGAAAAACGGTGACAGCAGTTAGCCAATAAAAACACTCAACCTTAATGAGCATCATTAAATCTGAACTATGAAGGTTAATTACATAATTGTAGCAGATGGCAGCGTTTTCACCTAAAGCAAACCCAGCTGAGCCCACTAAAAAATCTAACAGGGAGGTGTTTGGAGATGTCTGTATTGGCTGCCATGGTTTGCTCAATAGCTGATTTGTCCTGCTCGTGATTGTGCAGCAGCAGGGTCTCTGAGCAGGCACTCGAGGAGCTGCAGCCCGAGGATACACCGCTCCTGCTTCTGCTTGCAGTGCTCCAGGTATCTCTTTTCAGTCACTGTGACGAGGCAAACAATGCTGGAAATTATCTATCCCATGTTCCTTTATCTTTGTGTTTTCTGGTCAGCRGGGAACAGTCGGATGGAGCTGCTGATTGCTCAGTGTTTAACTGCAGAGTTTACGTTGTTCTCTGGRGTCCTGTCACTTGTTATCTCTGTGACCCCTTTCAGGTGTTTCCTCCCACTTTCTACTCCAGCTCACACCAGGCGGCCCCGCTGTTCAGCGCGCTGGACAAGGTGGAGTTTGCCCAGGTTTGCCCAGCCAAAGGTGCTCCCAATGCCTTGGTTTAAAGCTCAGCGGGATGTCACACTGGGTCACACCGGTATCATTCTGGCCGGAATGTTTTTCCGGGATGTTTTTCCGGGATGGTTTTTCGATGTTTTTCCGGGATGTTTTCCGGGATGTTTTTCCGGGTGTTATCTGGGATGTTTTCCAGGATGTTTTTCCAGGATGTTTTTCCAGGATGTTTTTCCGGGATGTTTTTCCGGCATGTTTTCCGGGATGTTTTTCCAGGATGTTTTTCCAGGATGTTTTTCCGGGATGTTTTTCCGGCATGTTTTCCGGGATGTTTTCCAGGGTGTTTTCCAGGATGTTTTTCCGGGATGTTTTTCCGGGATGTTTTCCGGGATGTTTTTCCGGGATGTTTTTCCGGGATGTTTTCCCGGGATGTTTTTCCGGGGTGTTTTCCGGGATGTTTTTCCGGGATGTTTTTCCGGGATGTTTTTCCGGATGTTATCCGGGATGTTTCCCAGCATGTGCCCCGAAAGCTGTCGGGGACAGCGGAGGAGAACGGGCTCCTCCACCAGGTGGCGCCGCAGGGCGGCCCGGCCTGCTCCGCTGGGGCCGCGTCAGGAGATTGAGATGGGATGGGATGGGATGGGATAGAATAGAATTGAATAAATAGAATAATATTTCAGTGGAAAGGGACTCAAAACGACCATCTGACCAAAATGCCTGAGCAACTCAGGGCTGACRGAGTSACAGYCCATTGTTGAGGRCATTGCCCAAATGCCTCACACACTGCCAGGCCTGGGTTTGACTGCCTCTCCAGGAAGCCTGTTCCAGGGTTTCATCACCCTTTCCACAACAAAATGCTCCCTGACGTCCTGTACAAACGTCCTTAGTGCAGCACTGAACATTTCCCACACATCTCTGGATCCCGGGGAGGAGAGCTCAGTACCTCCCTCTTGGTGTCTCCTCCTCACAGGAAGCGCAGAGTGCAATGAGGTCACCCCTCAGACTCCCTCCCTCCAAACTGTACACGCCCAGAGTCCTCAGCCACTCCTCACAGTACATGTGATAAATGCRTTTTCTGATTTCTGAGGTTTCATTGATCCTGATCTATCAACCTCCTAGCATTGTTCACCTGCGGAGACAAGACTCCCTGCTGTCCCCACAAGCTGCAACATAGTGCGGGGTCACCATGGGTTTGCCCCAGGAAGCTGCAGCAGCAGGATGGCCCTGCTGAGCCCCAGGAGGGCATGTGAGAGCTGAGGGTGTCCAGACCCCAGCAGCACCATCCCTGGCAGCAGGACACGGGCTCCRTGTGCCATCACACAGGATAGCTTGTGCCCATGCACTGTGGCAGTCTCAGACAGCAGCCTGACATCAGTGTCACAGGGCTGCTGTTGATGTGGATTATTCCCRTGCTAGCACCTCATGGAATAACAACTTATTCTGCTGTTTCTACCCCAATTCTGCTGTTGTTTGCTCACACAGACTGGGGCACAACCACACCGTGCCTGCAGAGTTGATTACCCAGCAGGGCTCTCGGAGCTGGCAGGCACACAGCCTGTGATACCTCTCATCTGTGAAGAACACAAAAGCTGCTCCTCTGAGCACCTTCACCCTCTGAGAGCCCTGCAGGCAGCAAGGAGCTCTTCAGGCATGGAATGGAGCACACAGGCAGTACAAGCTGTACCTATTAGTATGAGGAGCTTAAAGTTACCCCATGAYGCAGGGGGCACCCCACAGTCTCACAAGCAGGAGAACAGAAGTTGCTGMGAGACTTGCACAGCTTTGAATATTGTTCCTGTGTGATCTCTTGACCTTCTCCTTTCCCAGGGCTTCTGAGCTTTCAAAGTACAATAGTACTCAAGGTAGTCTGGGGATGACACTGCCTTCTCTGACTTGTCTATGAGGCTTGTCCCCATGACACAAGGATCACTTTTTTCTGTAAAAATAATATTTTACAATGCTGTGTCTTATCTGGGGAGGAAAAGTACACTTCCTACCTCAGAGGTGTGGGAGAGAGGAAAGCAGGTAAATGAGTGTTCAGGGGATAACTCAAAACTTACAGGGATTCAGRCCGTTTTCAGTGGTCCAGTGCTACAGCTAACCTTCCACCAGCAGCATTTAACCAGCTCCTCTGCTGGAGGAAGGGGGGATGTTTGGAGTGTTGGTGTTTGTCTTCCCRAGCCACTGTTGCATGTGATGGAGCTGTGGTCCCCTGGAGATGGCTGAACTCCYAMCCASCCCTGGGAAGTGAATTCATTCATTGTTTTGCTTTGCTTGCATGCACAGCTTTTACTTCCCGATTAAACTTTCTTTATCTCAATTTATCTCAATCCCAGAGTTTTCTCACTTTYATCCTTCCRGTTCTCTTCCCAGTCCCGCTGATGGGGGAGTGAAGGAGAGGCTGTGAGGGGTTTGACTGCTGGCTGGGGTTAAACCTCGACAGGCAAAAAGCCTCAGCCCTGCCTCCAACACTTCTTGCAGAGCAAGGTRACAGGAACCAAATACCACAAGGGAATTTAGGTGGGGACTTTGCAGCRCACGAGATAATATCAGGCTTTCACCTAGAATGTGATAAGAGCAGGCACAACAGGCAGTTACTATAAAGGAGCTTAAACTTCCTTAATTACAAGGCAGCATATTTTGCATCTCTTAACCTGCCCTAGTTTTCTCCTGGTAAAGCACTCACTGAACTGCTGGGGGGTGGGGTTTTTAAAATATTATCTTAAAATTTACTATGTTGAGGTACATGTTGTTGGTTAAATAAAAAAAAAAAAGTCCTTGCCTTCAGGTGTATCATTAATATAAAATCCTCTCATCTGTTTTCATTACCCATAGACAATGCGTAGTATTTTAAGACAGTAGTTATATAACTCTCTTTGTGTGTATATACATAATATATACGTACACATTTTTATTTACATTTATACAGCCAATCCTACATTCACCTTCAGATTTATTTATCCATATGTAGAGGCTATTCCAAGCAGTGTGTTGCTTGACATACAGGTAACTCCAATCTAAAAGTGCTCATAACTTATAAATCAATTACTCTGCAAATTAATGAATGCCTCTCACAGATCTGTGTTGAACTTCCAGTTTGAGCTAAACCTCTACTCTGAGACAGACTAAAGACAGCTGAGCATTGATCTCAGTTTGGTTTTTGGGGTTCTTATTTCACATATCCCTACTCACATAGCTGTAATGTTCAGATAAAACATTGCAGCTTCTTGTGAAGAAACCAAACCTTCMGATTTGCTGACCTTGTTTTTAACTGAGCAGCCCTTGGTTCATTAATTACCATAGTGCCCTTTATCTATTCCCATTTTTCACATGGGGAGAGGAKTTAGGAGGGTTTGCTTAATACAACAGCTTCAAGAGCACAACCAGTGTATTCAAATTCAGAACTTGCTCCTAAAACCCATGCACAAAATATGCATTTTTATCCCTTACAGAGTCAGAGGCTAGGAAAGCAGTCAGGGAATCCACATTGCTGGAAAGGAAGAGTTATCATTTCCTCAGTGAAAGGCTGGGTCAGGAGCTTTTCTGCCTGCTTCAAGACAGCAGGAGTCAGATGGCTGTCAGGCTCTACATTATGTTTTTTCTTCTTTTTCTGGTTGCATGTACATATTTATTACCAGCACTTCCCAGGGATGGTATTTCATTTCCTCTAGAGTTAGAAAGTGTGTAGGAAACATAGAGTGTCAGTGYTGGAAAAAAGGCCTCAGAATTAAGGTAATAAAAAATCTCCCTGCAGAYCTGTTTTCCCCAACCCAACCAGAGATGTCTGCAAGACACCGGATAGCTCATTTTACACCMAACATTCCACACTGCACAGTCTGGTGACAGGCAGGAAATTAAAGACTCTCTTTTCCAATCACAGTGTATATTTATGAGCAAGTTAACTTCCAGGTAGCAGATAAATTCTTGTATTCCATAACATGTATGCAAATGCTTGTGTTTAATGTTTCAAAARTAAACTACATTGCTGTGAAAAACCACAAAACCACACCAAAATTTCCTCACATGGGAATTTCCACAATTACATGTAGCTAACGGAAAGAGAGAAGTTCTGCAGCCTTGCTAATATACTCTGAACTTCATTCAAAGGACAAGAAATAAGCTCTTATAAGACTACAAAGTAAGTTTCCCAAATACAGACATTTCAGAAAGGAAACATGATAAATGGGAGAGGGCATCCACATGAGAATTTCACCTTTTTWAATGTAAGATTCTGGATTTAAATGAAAAACGAATCCTTGTATGACAGTTTTTAGGTGTTTAGGAGCAGCAAGGAATGGAGGATGAAAAAACGTGCCTCCTGTCCTTAYACAACAGGTTTGTGAGTAAACCCCATGCCCAGAGAGCTGAAGATTTAGTCTTTCCTTGGTTTGTGAGAAGTTACTTCAAAAGGATTTTTTGCCAAATCTAAACTCCAGACACAAAGAAACTTCAGCTTCCAAGAGGGAGGTTATTCCCAAGTCCTTCTCCTAGACCAGAGATTTTAGATCCATCCTMGGTCACAGTAATTACATGGTACTTTATTACAAAGGAGAGGGGAGAAAGTGGAAAGAAACCATTATGAATTCTTGCTGGAAAGCCCASAGTTGTGAGCAGTAGGTGGGAGCCCTCGTCATGTCCTACCACTGTTGGTGAGCTTCCCTCTGGCTGCAGTCATGAGAGACACCACAACCCTCGTACAGGGAGTGACRCATTCTGTGTGCTCATAGCTCTGTGTGCTGCACATGAGCCAGTGTGTGCCCAGTGACATCCTGCCTGTGTYGGCAATAGTGTCACCAACACAACCAGAGCAGTGACTGTCCCCTGTGCTGGGCACTGCTCAGGGGCACCTGGAGGCTGTGTCCAGCTCTGGGGCCCTCAATTCAGGAAGGACAGAGGGGCTGGAGCAGGTCCAGGGAAGGGAACAGAGCTGGGGAAGGATCTGGAACASCAGGAGTGTCTGAGGGAGCTGGGAAAGGGGCTCAGCCTGGAGAAAAGGAGGCTCCGGGGGACCTTGTGGCTCTGCACAACTCCCTGACAGGAGGGGACAGCCAGGGGGGTCGGGCTCTGCCCCAGGGAACAGGGACAGGACACGGGGTAACAGCCTCAACCTGCCCCAGGGGGGGTTTACATTGGGTATCAGGAGGAATTCCTTCATAGAAAGGATTATTAAATATTAGAATGGGCTGTCCAAGGAGGTGGTGGAATCACTGTCCCTGGAGATGGTTAATGAAAGACTGGATATGGCACTCACTACTCTGCTCTAGGTAAAATGATGGTGTTTGGTCATAGGTGATCTCAGAGGTCTTTCCAGCCTCTAGAATTGAGTGATTAAACATCAGCCTACTGCACCAGGTGAGGAAAGTCTCCTGGAAAATAAAGTTATTGATGAAATCCTTGGATYCCAGGCACCAGCACACGAAAGGCGCCATTTCCCGAACTGCTCTGGTGCTTAACGGCGGCGATGCTTCAGTCACAGCGAGGGGAAATGACTGCAAACTTCGCGTGGCTCTCGCACCCCGCAGCGACGCAGAGTGCGAACCGTGAGATTGTCGGGGCAGCGCCGGGCCCGTGCCCGCTCCCCTCAGCCCGCTGCCCTCAGCCCGCCGCCCGTG